TGCGGCAGAACTTATTACCCACACACTGCTGCATCTTGTAGAAAAAATGTGTTACAACACTGGCGTCTAATCAATTGACCTCAATTATAAGCCCTCTCACACTCAGTCGCTCCTGCACTCTGACGGCCACTGGAGAGCTTTAGAATGTAAGCTTCTATCTTTAGATTTTTAGGAGCCATTTATGACCTATAAGACAGAAATATCTTTCTGTGTATGCTTGTGAGCTTCACCGCACACTAATTTTTCTTCTTTTTTTCTCATTAAACAGTTATTTCTAATTTTTGGTGCTTATACATTAGTAGTAGTACTTGCAGGGACAGAACACAATGCAACTATTTTGCATATTATATTATCTGACTCAGAGACATACTGAGTTTGTGCTCTGTTTTACAATAATAGTATTCTACTGGCAAAATCGTTGTAAAGCATTTATGAGAAATCCCATGTATTTGTCACGGAGATGTCCATTTATTGCTGTATCACTTTAAAAATGTGTCGCAGAGGATGCGGCACCGACTGCTGGATAGTATATGGCCTGCATGTCTACAACTACTTTAAGTTAAAAGTAAATAAATGAATACATACATTAAAGAAAATACATTTATGTTATGAATTTATTTGCAGATTATTTTTCACATTCTACTGATATTTTGATATCTCTAAGAGTTTAATAGGAAAGCTAAGGTGCTTACTTGCCATGTGTAGTCAGTACTGTCATGGTCTTTAATTTTGTATTTGTATTTGAGTCCTGGTCCCTGTTTTGATATTGTGTTGTCCAGTGTTTCTTTATAGTTACTTCCATCTGTCTTTTCTGTATTTTTGTTACCACTTCTTTCCTCCTTATTACCATGTCCTGTTGTTTAGGTGCATTTTCTCTAGTTTCACAGTAGTAGTTCCTAAAGGTAGATACTGTTACTTTACTTTACTGCATGGGTGCTAGGAAGGGGAAAAAAGCTCAATGTGAACTATTTTCAAAAGTGTGAGCCCAAAGTTCATTTAGTGTGAAATGAAATCAGAGGTAGTGTTTGTAAAATGTGAAGCTGCACAGACTGAAGAAGTTTGCACTTCCTCAACATGTTTTCTTTACCTGCTTAAAAAGTCGGTGTTGTAGCTTCATTCTAAATAAGAACACCACTTGGTGTAGGAACTTAATCAACCCTGTCCCCCCACACTATAGTGTCACACAGTCACAGAATAGTCTTCAGCAGAGACAACATCCTGATGGCCAGTGTCCAAGAGCAAACTTCATTATATCTGATCACCAGGACCATGCCAAACAAGAAGCTTTCCTCCTCCTCCTCCTCTCCTCTTCTGCTCCTCTGTTGTGTAACAGTCTCACTCTCTCACTCTGTCTTTGTTTGCCTCCCTTTAGCCCTCTCCTGTATCCCTTCACCCTTTGATTATCCCCGATGCAGGCCTCATAAATCAGAGCCCTCTTCGCTTCTCTTTTGCCATGTCTTCCTAATCTATTTCTCTGCTCCTCTTTCTTTATCTGCAGCCCCCCATTCCTGATTGATTTCAGTTAGCTCATTTTTTGTTCATATGCTCTGACACACCTCCTCTCCTTCACTACATGAGATTAACTATATGAGTCAACTTTTTACATTTTTTTACAACCTCAAACAGTTTGTCATAAAATTCCAATAAATGAGCAAAACCATTGGTTTTCAATTATAGTCTCCTAAAAGGATTTGATTAAAAAGAATACTCTTTTAAAATAAAAATGCTGTATGTCCAGATGAACCTTGCTTGCCTAACACAACTCTGTACATTTTAGTGCCCTTCATGTATATATTTATTGTGCAGACTGACAGACACTATGTTGCTTTTTTGTGCTGCTGTTATTGCTGTGGTTTCCACCTACATCACCACCTGCTATGTGTTTGTGTGCCCCCCTGATGGGTCTTGATTTCTAAATTAAGCCCCACGATGGGGGAATTATTTGCGAGGCTCACTGGATGTTATGTATCGTGTTGTGATGTACATGCCTTACTACTGCAGGGGGTATCATCAAGAGTGGAGCAGTACCGCCAAGTCCGACGTTAATGCCTTTTCTTTTTGCAGTAATGTTCAAACTGGTGATGTGAGTCTCTCCTAACAGTGGGAAACCTCTCCACTTTGGAACCTGGGCCAGTAAAGTTGCGAGCACATTGCATCACTTTTCCCTTACTTTAAACGCAGCAATGTCAGCTTTTGCTTACACTTTGTGTTTCTCTGTGTGTGTGTGTGTGTGTGTGTGTGTGTGTGT